AGAGAGAGAGAGAGATTATCTATATTGATGTGCGAAAAGGAAAACGAAAAAGGAAAACCGACAAAATAAATGATAAAAAATGTGACAATTTAAGGAAATAGTCTGTAAGATTAAACACATATTGTGTATGGTTTCGCTGATTCAAATTTCTCAAATTATACCCCGTCGATTGATTAAATCCATTTTTCCCAGTGCAATAAAAAAAAAAAAAAAGAGAAAAATACAACTGAAATTCTTCGTTCTTTATTTATCAATGCCAATAACCTTCTGGGCTATTCAAACGAATTTTTCCAAATTATTGCTGGCAGTTTTCTCTTTTGTATATAATAAGATAAACGAAAACAAGCAGTTCGCATTCGATTAGAGCTGACTCTACCGTGATATGTCTTTGAGGGTCTGTGTCGACAGCGATGCAAACCAATTGTTTTTGTGTCACGCATCTTAATTCATGTGTCAAAATTTACAATTATGTATCCACAAAAATGTAAGATGAGTAGCTTGGCCTCTGGCGGGTTTGGCTCCCGATAACAAAATCTAATGGAGTCTATTGTCAGTTGAAGAAATTGACTAAAATTAGTTTTTTTTTTTTTGTTGTTGTTTTGTTAATTTGTTTTTTTAAATGCAGAGAGAAAGAAAAAGTGAACAGAATATAAAATAAGCAAGATCGCAAAATTATTGTGGCCTTAAACAATAGTAAATCTACAAGTTATTAAGGGCTTCAATCATTACGAATAATTTAATTCTGTTGCAATATATATATATATATATATATATATATATAAATATATATATATATATATGCGTGAAGTTGATTTGAGAATCCGTCGGAATGGTAAATCTAGAACCTTTGACAACTATGACATGTATCGCTGATGAACGGGCGTCAACAGAAAATTTATTTTAATTTTCCAACACAATTTAGCTTCTCAAGAAAATGTGATTTTTTGGTTTCGCTAAGTTAGATTTTGTTCTTGTTAAATTAAAATTGATTTTCTAATGAGGCTGATTCATCAACGAAACATGTCAAAGTAGCAATTATCCAAATTGTATATTATATATTTAACATATATGTAAATATTTAAACCAGTTTTAATTTAAATTCAACTGACAACGCTTATTCTTTAATTATTATTGTATTTAATAATTTCTGAATAAAATTTTACAAATCCGAATCAAAACTGTGATAAAGTGAATTGTTTGTACACATATGATTTGATTATAGTAGTGAAGGCTTTGTGCCGAAGCAACCATATTTTTTGAGGGGTCGAATACAGAAACCTGGTCCCCAAACGACCATCCGCAGGTTTTGAATTCAGAGTTCTCCTTCTCCTATACCAGTTGCCATCCAAGGCTATAGAACTCAGTCTGTCCTGCTATTTAACCATAGCTGGAAGGAGAAGAAGATTAATATCTTTCCCAATTGTATTAGCACGCAAGTGAATGTAATGAATTCGACCGAAATTCGAACTCGATTACTCAATCCTGGCTACATAAGAGGTCTCATGTTTCAAAACAAGAGCCGAAAACTTCAATATAATCCTTTAAATTAAATTGAGTTTAAATTAAAATGGGCTCCGTTCCATCTTCAAGCGAAATTTTTTTTTTTCCAACAAAAATTTCGCTTGAAGATGGAACGGAGCCCATTTTAATTTAAACTCAATTTAATTTAAAGGATTATATTGAAGTTTTGGCTTCTTGTTTTGAAAACATGAGACCTCTTATGTAGCGATTTGGAATCATATTTTAAATAAATAATTATATTTATGCTCTACTTTTGTATCGAGCACTATTTTTAAAAAATAATAACTAAAATACTTTGGATTATATATATATATATATATATATATATATATATATATATATATATTAAGGTATTAATCCGCTTCTTCTCCCTCCAGCTATGGGCAAATAGCAATACAGACTGGGTTCTATAGACTTGGATGGCAACTGGTCTAGGAGAAGGACAACTCTGAATTCAAAATTCTACTGAGGGGTGTTTGGAAACCTTGTGGCGCGTAGTGCACCAGGTCTCTGTATTCGGCCCTTCATAAAGTGTGATTGTTTATGCACAAAGCTTTCACCACTATAATCAAATGATATGTTCTGGTGTTTGGCTGTCGGTTACTAGGAACCGAGCTGCTTGGCGAGAGACTTCCATATATATATATATATATATATATATATATATATATATATATATATATATATATATATCCACAGAGAGACTGTTTCGCTGTATCACAACTCATCGGTGTAGTAAACATCCGACTGCTTCAAGCCGGGATTGAAACTCGACTGATTTGGCATCAGTCTGAGACTCTGCCCCTATGCTAACGACACACGGCATAGAAATGGAATCTTTGAACGCATTATATACGTGATATATATACACATGCTAAACCAGCAGCCAGAGCGCTCAGTTCTGACTAAGAGCTACGCGTTGAGCAGAAGCCGTTAAATATTCCCTTTCTCCATAAATCTCAATCGGCGAACGAGATCATAGTCATCCACAGTTTCGCTGTATTACCCCTCATCAGTAATATATATATATATATATATATATATATATATATATGTGTGTGTGTGTGTGTGTGCGTCTGTGTGTGTGTATGTGTGTGTATGTGTGTGTGTGTGTGTCTGACTGTGTGTGTGTGTATATATATATATACGTATGTATGATATAATATCGCACACTGCTGGTGCTAAGAAAATAGTGTCTGATGTATATTAGCGCAGTTATATTTTATATTACAAATACATATGCATTTTTCGTAGTGCAACTCAGGGTTTCCTGTACAATGCAATCGCCAGGTACTGATTGAAAACTTTGTCAGGTTTGAATCAGCCAGTGACGATTACATTGTTCTATTGAATCAGGTCATTGAATCTATTGAATAACCTACTTATCCTCGACAAAATAAATGCTAATCGTAAAGTCGAATTTAATATATTATACTACAATCTAAGAACTTGACATTTAAATATTCAGAAATATATATATGATTCATATATATATATATATATATATAAATTGAATAAATATATATATAAATAAATAAATATATATATATATATATATATATATATATATATATATATATATATATATATATATATATATATATATATATATAAATTGGATTGAGGAATCGCAGAGCCGAGTTCGAATTCCAGTCGAATCCATTACATTCACTTACGTGCTAATACCCTTGGGAAAGATATGAATCCTCGTCGTCTCCCTCCAGCTATGGGTAAAATAGGACAGGCTGGGTTCTATAGCCTTGGATGGCAACTGGTCTAGGAGTAGGACAACTCTGAATTCAAAACCTGCGGAGGGTCGTTTGGGAACCTTGCGGCACTCGGTGCACCAGGTCTCTGAATTCGGCCCTTCAAAATGTGTGGATGGTCCTGCACTAAACCTTCACCACTATAATCAAATCTCATGTGCTGTTGTCAGGCTGTCTCTCTAACTGATCTCTACTTGACCCTCATACGTCGAATTTCGACGGGAGAGTCGACTATATATATATATATATATATATATATATATATATATATATATATATATATATATATATATATATATAATAATCCGTTCGTATATAATCCAAGTGAATGCTAATAATATAAAATATTAAAACTGATACACAGACAGCTCAATGTATTTATTATAACAGACCATATAAATTACATAGATTAGGAATCCAACATTACCCTATTCGAATAGCTATTTCGACCCACAGAGTCTTGCTCGTGAGTCTTGTCAACTCAGAAGAGTGAAGAGATAAAATAAAGTAGGATCTTAAAAATTTAAACATGTAAAGAAAAAAGTAAGAAGTAGAAGAGGAGACAAAGATGAAAAAGAAAAAAGAAAGAGAGAAAGAAAAATGAAAAGGAAGTTGCAGATAGTGTCTAGACATAAATTGACTCCCAATCTCATGGTAGTATAAGTGGGAGTGTCAAATCAAGACCGTTAAAATAACCTTGACGTATATTTTAAAATATTAATATGTAGTTTATATAAGGAAAATTAATTAAAAGAATTTAAAAATTTGAGAAGATTTTTTTTTAATTTTTAAAAAAAGTGTAAGTTAAAAGGTCACATCTAAAATTAAAAAAAATTAAAATTAAAACAATATGTAATATATAAATAATAATCATACATATAATATAATAAATAATAATTATAAAATGAAATTATGGAATAAAATAAAATTAAATTAAAAAATAAAAATATAATTTATTAAATATAAATAAATAAGGATTAAGAATAAATTAATAAATAAATATTAAATATGAATAATTATTAATTAAATTAAAAAATAAATATGAAATATAAATTAATTATTATATATAAATAAGATAATATAAAATTTAGTAAAATAGTAAATACTGATTATAAATTAAATAAAATATGGAAAATAATATATATATATATATATATATATATATATATATATATATATATATATATATATATATGTATATATTCCAACAGAATACTCGCCTGAATGGCTAATCACTTATAGAGTAATTGGTAGAAATGCCAAAAAAACAGAATTGACAAAGTTTGCACTAAACAATAACTAGAGAAAGAAAATAAAAAAAGAGGGCAACAATAATACTAAGCAAACAATATATGCGAGGCAAAACAACAGGAACAAAGCAAAAAATTCACAAACTAAGAATTGTGGTAACACACAAAGGAGATACCAACATGCGATCACAGCGTTCTGACTTCAACGCAAGAAAGGACAGAAATGGATCGGATGTGACCGAGAAGTGACTTATCTTAAAGAAAAATATATACGCAAAAAACAAACAAAAATCTTTATATACAATTTATACTGTTTTAATGCTAATATGTCAACGTCGGACGTTTCGGTCTAATAAACCATCTTCAGGACATATTCATAAATTATAACATTATCAATACAACATGACAAAGAAAAAAGGTCATAGTCTCATTGTACTCTTTGCAATTTAATTTTATTTTATTCAATAATTTCATTTTATAATTATTATTTATTATATTATATGTATGATTATTATTTATATATGACAATGTTATAATTTATGAATATGTCCTGAAGATGGTTTATTAGACCGAAACGTCCGACGTTGACATATTAACATTAAAACAGTATAAATTGTATATATATGATTTTTGTTTGTTTTTTTCCGTATATATTTTTCTTCATACTGTCGGATCTATACCCATATATTTGCTTACATATATATATATATATATATATATATATATATATATATATATATAGAAAGAGGCGCACAAAAATATAGTGAAATATAGTGACAAAGCGACCGCAGCAAAGTGAAAGGGAGATTAATATCTAAAATAATATATAATGCGAAAATACATCAGTGATGAGATCTATGAACCACGGGATAAAATAAGTCATAGTGTAAAAAATAAAAAAAAAAATTGTAAAAATATAATGTAAATAGAAAAAAACTAGTTTCAAATAAAAGTTTCAGGCGAAAAAAAAAAGGAAATGAAAACCCTAAAAGTTATAAATAAAACAATATTACGAAGGGTGTTCCTAAAGTATTTATTTTTTCGCCAAAACTAATGACGCGTGGACAAAATCCTTTGTGGAAGTCATGAGAGTAGGGAGCATGTCGAACAAGTGGTGCGTTGTTCTTGGACAGGAAAGCTTGGTCCAATATCCTTGTTCGACGATGTCTGTACTCTAAGCGTAACATCCGAGAATTACTGTGGCCTACCGGCGCGAAAATTTTCAAGCTTGTGTAGCAAGCATGGCGCCACATATTTTTCCCGCCAAAACTAATGCTACCTACGTAGCATTAGATTTGGCGGGAAAAATAAAGTCAAATTCTTTTCGAGCGCACCTCGTATTAAACAACTCTCCAAAGTGTGCCTAACGAAGGTAATAAAGAAGGTAAAAAAAAATAGTCGTTTTGCAAAGAGTACAATGAGACTATTACCTTTTTTTCTTTATATCTCCTAACTAAGGAGTTCTTTTACTCCTCGAGAAAGATGAGAAATTACCCAAAACAATAATATAGAAAAGTGATATCGGTAATGTAATCTCCTATAAAACTATAAATATATTTTTCTACGGAAAAGATAACAGTTTTTTATGTCCATATTATACGTGCCTATAAATATTACGAATGCATTTTTGTGGAATATGATGCTGTAGAAAATGTTTTTTTTTAATCTACACCGTAAGTCCCTATCAAAATTTTGAGTGTATTTTTATTTTTTTATTTTTTTGTGGAAAAAGTTGCTGTAGAATAAAGTATTATGTCCATATTGAAAGTCCCTATCAAAATTATGAATGTATTTTTTGTGGAAACCGATGCTGTAGAACAAGGTTTTATGCCCATATTGTAAGCCCCTATCAATATTATGAATGTATTTTTTACGGAAAATGATGAAGAACAGTTTATTCCAATATTATAAGCTCATTATTAAGCGCATGTGTTTTTTTAAACTGACAAATAAGGATAAGTTTTATGAAAATGTGCGTTCTATATTCCAGAAAATACATTGCTTAGGGAAACAGACGAACATTGAAAAAATAGAAGTAGACAGAAAAAAGAATAAAATAAAAATACTCAGAGAATAAATAGTCGATGAAAAATTAAAAGAAATATATAGATATAGAATAGAAAAGAAGAAGAAATGATATAAAAAAAATATAAACAAAAAGAATCAATAAGGAGTACAGGTAAAAGAGTGAATAAGGAGAAGTGAAAGAGAATATATGGAGAGGTTGACGAGATAGAAAAGAAGAAAGGAAAGAGAGCAATGAGAGTAATGAAAAAGCTTCCCCAAGAGAGGCAAGCAATAAGAGAGGGAAAAGAGAGCAATACTCATGCAAATAGAAGGGAAGAGACGAGAAGCGAAAAGAAAAGAAGAGGTTAAAGTAAACAGAATAGAAAAAAAAAAACAGGAGAAAAAGTAACAGGAATGTTCAACCTTTCTCCCATTCAATCGATTCTCGTTAATTTTTGATAGCCGTTATATAAATTCAACTCTAGGCATATACATCGATTTAGGACGCACCTTTCCAATCATTACAGGTAATTGGCTAATATTAGCCAATTAGGGCTGTTCTTGCTGACACACCCACCCCGCGGCCATAACAATCGAATGCCGACCGTTATCTCTTTATGAAAAACTACCCGAGGAATTACCCAACACTAAGATCCTAATTTCAACCCAACTGTGATTTTTCCCTGTCGGCCCTGAGGTAAGTTTTGCCTCATCTCGACAAAGAGTGTTGTGTCTGCAACCCTATCATTCATAAAACAATTTACTTGTGAGATTTTTCTAAATTATGGATAACCACAATTAGTAACGAAAGACAAAATAAAGAAATAAGAGAAAAAAAAAGAAAAAGAATTTAAGTCCTGTGAACATCTTGAAATTTTTTATGAAAAAAAATAACAAATATTAATAATAAACGATATGGCGGAGATAGTCTTCATTTTCCGTATGTGTGTGCGTGTATGTGTGTGTGAGAAAGATATTGTGTGTGTGTGTGTGCGCGCGTGAATGTGCCTGTCTATATGGTTGTGTGTGAGTGTGTGTGTGAGTGAGTCTATGATTGTTCGTGTCAGTGTGTATGTCTATGTTTATGTGTGTATGATTGTGTGTGTGAATGTGTGTGTGTGTGTATATGTGTGTGTGCGCGCGTGAATGTGCCTGTCTATATGGTTGTGTGTGAGTGTGTGTGTGAGTGAGTCTATGATTGTTCGTGTCAGTGTGTATGTCTATGTTTATGTGTATGATGTGTGTGTGATGTGTGTGTGTGTGTGTGTGTGTGTGTGTGTGTGTGTGTGTGTGTGTGTGTGTGTGTGTGTTATAAGGCATTGTCTTTAAATTACTACTTATGCTCATTTTCAACCCGAAGCTACAATTGAATAGCGTTTATAATTAGGCTCAGTTAGAAATAGTGTAAGGACAATATGCATACACAACTGAATGTGGTCTGGTATTACCAAGACTACCCCGCAGCAAATGCTCGCGCAAAACAAGGTTCGGTATATCTCTACCCAATCCTCTTTACACTTCCGTCTTTTCCGTACTTCCTGTTCATGTTTCTTTCTTATTTTTTATTTTATTTTATTTTATTTTTGTTCTGTATCCCTATTTAATAGTAGTAGTCGTAGTAGTAATAGCGATCCTGTCACCATAATTATTAATTACATCAACACACTTTTCATTAAAATTCTAATGGTACGATTCTTGATATTTACTAAGCGTGGCATAATAAAACACAAAACGTATGCGTAGAACTTCCAGTGAGAACAGAACTCACGGCAATGATGTCGACAAATCTAACGATGGTAGAATTGCAATTTTTTACGACAGGGCTGTCTCTTCTTTTACATCGCAAATTTATTTTCATTGAAATTAGGAATCCCGTTTGTCTGTCTGTCTGTCTGTCTGTCTGTCTGTCTCTCTCTCTCTCTCTCTCTCTCTCCCTCTCTATCTATCTATCTATCTATCTATCTATCTATCTATCTATCTATCTACCTCTTCTTTTGTTATAGCCCTACATTTTTTCGTGGTGCATATAAATCAAATAAACAAATTCTGTAAACTTTAATAATTCTTGTAAACGATTCGCGCAAAACGTTCACGAACCTCTTAAATTCCATCATACTAAACCAACTAGTAAGCCGGTTCCACTACCAGACCTTTCTGGTGAGCTCTGTGGCTAAGTGCCCACCTGTATTAAAAACTTGCCAAAAGCAAATGAACCTTCTTATAGGGTCTAATAGACTGAGCTTCATAGCATACGGCCAGTGCGTTAATGGCACAGCATCACTAGTAGGAGGGCTTTCGAGAGAGAAGTTAATGTCCTGAGTGGAGAGTTCCATAGGTGGAATCAATGGTCACGTGTCAATGACCAAAATGAACCTTTAATTTTAAGAACATCGGCTGTGATGAGAGGGATGAGCTCCGTCAGGTCTACCTACCAAAATGCACGCTATGCATGAATGAATACAATCGAGATGGAAATGGTCAGGTGCGCAATTCCGGAGTGACCATTCGACCGACTAAGCCCGGTCATGGTACAAATGATCATGGTTTATGATGATGATGATGATGATGGTTTATGATTATATAATTAGTTCTAGTATTATTTATGGACTCTTTCTACCAGAGAGCTGGTGGCTTACTGTGATTATCAGGTGTAAGTATGCCTCCTTAAATCGCCAGTAATCTCCTCAGTATTCTTGTTGATAAAGCAATGCTGTTGTGTCTTTGTTTTCGTGGCTTCTTACAAAGAAATTATTCAAATGTTCAGTTCATTGGATACTCAACACCCTTGTCCCACATTCACTGCTATATTGAAGGACTGATATGTATAACGCTTTAGCACTCTTTTCTTTGTTTCTATGCCTAGTTTTCTTTCGCTATTCAAAGACGCCTTCGGATTTCAGTGTCACATCTTCGATTCTCGGTTAGAATTCTTAGATATTTCCATTTTTGCATCTCCAATTCTTACTTTGCTTCTTCGGCGGTTCTTCTTGCTGACAACCTCCCGGTCTTTCTGCTTAAAATCGATAGTTAGTTTGTTTTTCTCCCTCTCTCTTTCTTTTACTATAATCTGTAGGAATTCCTGTAGTTTCATTTCTGTGTCTACTCTCAGCAGTGTCATTTGCATATCTTATGTTGTTAAGATGGTTTCCCATATTAATACATTCTGGTAGGACTTCTAATTCTCTCAGGATCGCTTTGCTTTAACGATTGAATAAGTCTGGCGAGAAGACACATCCTTGTCTTACGCCCCTTTTTATTTTTGTGTATTTACTGAATTCATTTTTTCTCCGTGTGCAGACGGTTTGCTCCCAGTAGATTATTTTAATATAAATCCTAAATAGGTCAATCTTACCTAGCAGATCAAAACTTTTGCATAATCTATAAAACATAGGTATATATACTTCTGCTTTTTTGTATTGTTTTTTTTTTTCTGATTTCATGCTTGTTTCAGAGTCACAAAACAGATGGTCACAATTATGTAATGCGAGATCCTTTATTGAAAGGACTTTTAGAGATAAATATAGTTTTCAACGCTTCGTGTAAAAGCTATCTCGCAGAATGTAGATTACCGCCTTCAGAATTTCATGCTATTTTTACCTTTTTTGCCTATTTGCCATTTTATTACGAAATAGAATACTTCATATTTTTATGCTAAAACCATATTGCCCAGTAAATATGGTTTGGCAGTATGCATCATTAGACAGCACATAAAATCCTGAATATAATTTATTAATTTATCTAATTATTTTCTAGGTTTAGCCCACTTCTGGTCAGAGTCTGTAACGCTTGATTCTTCCGGACTCTTCCCATTACAACAAAAATGCCGGATATTCATGTATTCGCTTCTTCAGAATATATGTCTTGTGGTTATCAGATTTAATAATAGAAAGCCTTCATAACTCAATTCCCATAACTTTTCGTAGTATCTTGTGATCAAAGTAATATTTTCTTTTACCGAACATCCATTTTATCCAATTTCGACTCCATGACTTTTACTTACATTATTTAAATTATTCGGACTGTTATCCTCATCTTCATTGCCATATTCACAACATTTCGGTCGTTGTACGCTTCGGCCTTCTTCAGATGATTGGAATTTCGAACTGAACCATTTATTTTGTCCACAGGGGTAAATTTTCTAGTTCCAAGTGCCATGCCTCTTCCGGATGTCTCACTTATTTCCCTTTAATTCAACTCCCCAATTTTTGGTTCACCACTGCTGTAGCATGGTAATGAACTCACAACTCTTTGGTTCTAGTCACTGGATCTAACCAACACCTTTATCCACTGGACCAAGTGTCCTTGAAGAAGGCCGGGGCGTATGACGGCCGAAACGTTGTGAATATGACAATGAAGATGAGGATAACAGCCCGAATAATATAAATAATGTAAGTAATCATAATACCTCATCTCAGAGATATAGACAGATATCCATGGCATTTGTTGCAGTTTTATTTCATCATTTTTATAAACGTAATGCCAATTATTCAAATAACAGAGCGCCCAATTTTTTTCAAATTTTTCAGTTTATTTCGACTATATTGTATACTGATCATATTGTATACATATCATATAACATTATCAACGTTGTTATTATTATCAGCATTATATCATTTGTATTACTCTGAGACGTGCTGAAAACTATCCAAAACTTCACAAAATTTGATCAAACATCAGAATTTTGTTCTTAAACCCTTCTTGATCACAACTAAAACTTTTCCGCGCAATCTCGTAAATTAATTTTTCAGATGCTTGAGTACAAAGATATAAAGCTCAGTCTACTGATCAGGACAACCAGTATGATAGGTACATGCATTACAACCAAATGTGCGTGATATGGTGACAGTTTCTAAAAAAAATAGCGTATAGGGACCAGTTAAAAACACCTTAAGGTTGGAGAGCCCAATCCGCTAAGATGGCCTCTGTTTGACTTGTATACCCGATCCTTCAAACTTAAAAAAACAATCCGCTCACCATGAGGCTATGATACATTTCTGTTACTACAGCTCATGAACTGACATGTACAGCGTGTCAGTTCCTGGGGAACTTGTCCAACTGGTTAAGGATAGGCAAATGGCAAGTATATATAGGGGTACTGAACGAGGTATTTACTGTAGCACGTTTTTTCACTATTATATCATATGTATATGTTAGCACCCCCAATCAATTAAGATCAGAAGCTATCAGAGATATGCCTGATTTAGCATCAGGATATTATTATCATCATGATCATCATCATTATATTTCGATTTCTGCTATGGTCACACTACCTAACAAGTCTGCGGGAAGAGCGAGTGTTGGTAGCGGCGTGTTGTTATGGT